AGAAATGCAAGATTTGTAATTGTAATCACTAATCAAAGTACTCTTCTTCATTGCCAAACGTCCAAAATAGCAGCGGGTCACTCATCTGGCCCAGGGAGGTGATGTTTACCCCCCGCCCCGGGTCTCCTTCCCTGGGACAGGAGCTGCAGCCCCCCATTTGCAGGACTCAGCATTCCCCCGCCGGACGGGAGCGCTCCTGGTTCCCATGGCGACAGCTTTGTCAGCTCCCGCCGCGCTCGGGACACCCCAGCCACGCCACGCCACGCCACGCCGCCCCTCGGCTCGCTCTGCTGCCTCTCCCCGGATTTTGAGACCGTGGCAGCCCGTCTTCCAGCCCTGTTAGAAACAGAGACGATTACCCAAATGCAGAGGCGAAAAAACACTTTGTCAGTCCTATCAAGCCCGGTCAGCAGATGGCTAAAACCTCTCGATACGCAGCAACAGCGAGGCCAATAAAACCTCCGAAGTACAGCACTACAACTGTTCTATTTACAGCAAACATTAGCAAACACACGGCCTCAATGACTCAGGTGAGTGAAATCAGTTGGAGAGAGATGTAGGATACACCACAGTAGCTTACTTTTAATACGATATTTTTTCCTCTGTTAGGTCTAAAGAACTTAATGCCCTTAGAACAAGCATGATCTAAGCCTTTAAGAAATGGAACAAGCTGATTTTTATAAAAGTAACACAGCAGCCATATGAAAAGGGAGGAACACTTCAATCTTATTTAAATTCTTACCAAGCTTTCTGTGAAAAACACATTGCGTGCTCTATTAGCAGCAGCCTTCCTTGATTAGTATCTCAATAATAAGACCCTTTAATCAGTTAAAAGTGATAGCACAGGTCAAGCAGAACCACTGCACAAGAAGCTTTCTTTACAAATCTGACTTTCCACTGTAGTATAAATGCTTTTTTCTCGGTTACACAAGTAATTAAAATACTTCCAAAGTTGACTGCTATTAAAAACAATTGTTGAAAACACTAAGGATGAACATCTTATATGCCACAATCCCCTTTGTTTTAAATATACACTACCACTTACGCATCAGCATTGTTTAATTTTTGCTTTTTAGACCAAATGAAAAATAGACATGAGGGGGAACAGAGTTTCAGCTGGGGTGCCTACAGAAGTACTGGGGAGAGGGAATGACAACAGAAACAAATCAGAGTAGACTTCAAGAAGCTTATTGCTAGAAATCACGTCTAGATACAAAAACTTAAGACTTTTGTCAAGGTCATTTCAGCTTATTTTTAAATTCAGTAATGTAGTACTTAACTTTTGTTTACATTTTGCCATCTGTAACATCAATAAAGATCTGACATGGTTTAATGCCTTTTGAACACTTATGAGCAACTCCTAGTGCTGACAAGACCTAAATTCTACTTTAGGGGAAGAGCACAGCAGAGGGCAGTCTCTACACCAATTAATGAAAACCTGAAAAAAAGAAATACGCTCAGTTTCAAAAAGCAGCCCACAGAAACAACCAACGCTATAGCTCATTAAATGGTCTGACACCCACATTAACCTAAGCCAGCACATAGATTCACTACCCTAGCATCCCTCTATGGCTTAGATTAATAGGCTACAACTATGCATACATTTGAATACCCAGCTCTAATCAAGTCTTTAGCACCAACAATCCCTGCTCAACAAGAAACATTTATTTCTACACATAGATATGAGTGGATAACACGGATGTCTATGGGCTGCAATGAAAAGATGATAAACAGTGAAAGAAAAAAAGAATTATCTTAATTTAGCAGTTATTCCAAACGTTTAGAAACCTTCAAGCATAACAAATGAAGAGTGAAGAAATTCCTAGAATTCCAGGGGATGTTAACAGATCTCACAGGACAGCCAGAAGCACGATAACAAGACAGTCATTTCTTATCACCTATTCACAGACAGTTAAGACTTCAGATTTCATTGTCTAAAAAGTAAACATGCCTGTCCTTGTTTTAAACAGTGGTCATATTCTCTGTGAAATTAAAAATACTGCTGCTATTTTAGTTCTCTAATAAGATTCCCCCACGCCCTTCAAATTGTATCCTTTTTGGCTTGGGCTCTTGCACCCCGGTCTCATTTTAATCCTCAGATTTTTTAGCATGTTATTTTTAATGTCAATGCTTGCCACTGCTTCACTATATAAAACATAGTATTAATAGTAAATGTTCATAAGTACTAATATGTAAATGACACTTTCACTTCAGAGAGGTGATTGAACCAAAACTATACTAACTAATCCCAAATTAAATTGAAGATACAATGTTCCATAATTTACATCTCATCTGCCATTTAAATTCATACAAAATGGCATTAGTTTAGTCCTCCATAGTAAGTTGCTCTTAAGCCATATTTACAATATTCTGGTGAAAGAGAAATTTCTTCCTTACTTACAATATTCCAATACCTGGTGACTCCAATAAACACATTTAGAAACATCATCTAAAGAAAAGGGGAAGACAGACATTCCTCACAGGCTTTCATCCAAAAACGCTGAAATGTTAGCCATCTAATTCAACAGTCTTCAAAGAGGGGACCAAGACTATCTTTCAGCTTTATATAATTGAGCTATAGGCTTTTGCAAGTTCAAAAAGCAAAGTCTCACAACATTATGTAATGAAGATATGTGTGCTAGCCTCTTTTGTGTGGCCTTCCTCCTTGGCATCTCTTTTCAACTTTTTTTGCAATATTATCTGAATGGGTGACAGCAAAGTGATTTTTTTTTTTTAATTATTGTCTTTAATGATTTGACCTGATTAGCTCCATCGCTGTATTACTCATAGGGATGGGGGGGGGGGGGGGGAAGTGTGGGGGATAAGGATCTTCTGATTTTTTTTTCTGACCACAAAAATGAGTTGAGACTTCTGAAGACCAAAATTCTGAAATACAGAACATAAAACACAAAATTGTACTATCTATGATCTCTGCACTTCACAGAGCTCACAGTCACTTATGCACCACAAACTCAGAACAACCACATTTCATTTGAGCTCTTCTCTACGGTTTTTTTTGGGAGGGGGAAACAAACCCACAAACTATTTTAGATACTCAGGTCTTTGATGTCACAAGTTTTTCATTCCTAAACTCATCTGAGATTGTGGTGAGTGTTCCGCTGAGCAAACCCCTAAAAAACTGCTGCATGAATTTTAGAAGTTTCCTTCTGAACGATTTTCACTTCATGGGCATAATTCCCTAAGGTTTTCTCTTTCTAGTTAACATCATCTGTACTTGCTTTTTCTGTAGGACACTGTAAGCAAGGCATACCAGCCATGCAGTGTATGTCAGTTTTTCCTACGATGCCATTTCAGTATTATTACTATGCTGAGACACCCTGTTAGACAAAGAAGACAGAAGCCCTTGCTACTATAGAAGAAAGAAACCATCCTCAACCAGGATAAATGCAACAAATAGCTATAGTGAATATATCCCCAAAGAAATATTTGGTCACAGTTTGCAGAGAAGGATTATGCTCAAGTGAATTCATGTACATGAAATCTGCTGGAATGTTTCTCACTCCTGAGAAGACGACAAGTACCAAAGTCAGAACTCAAAATTTTGCAGACCGAAACAACTGTTCAGAATTTGCAAAATGTTGTAGTTTCTTTATACTGTGTCAGTCACGTTACTTAATATTTGCAGAACATTTCAGTAATTTCTTCAGGGAAATCACATAATCCATATGTTTGTGCACAGCTAACTCCCCAACTGCTAGCACAGAACAAAGCTGACTAGGCTGTCAAGTGTGCCCTACTTTTGGATCCTTCCAAACAGAGATCCCATAGTTCATGAATTTATGACAAGAACCAGAAAAGAGACTGTCAGTATGATTCCTTGGACTGTTAAGCTGGGCTAGTTTGCTGCTCCCGAAGACTGCAGTCTCATAACTCTTCTGACTGCTCCCTTACCCTCTCCACTTCTAGATTGTACAGCCAGTGCCTTCTCTGATAGCTTTGAAGCTTGTCAAATCTCTCTGAGCCACCTTAATTCAACAAGACTGTAGAATGTCACAAAATATTTTTGTTTGTTGGGTTTTGGTCAAAGTAGCATGCTAAAACAGCTTACAATATAATTTGAAAGGTGACAGGACTGGCACAAGGGGCAGGAGCCAGTGGTTGAGACCAAGGAGGTAGAGGTGAGGACTGAGACAAGCAGAAACTCCCCCTGATGGCAGCAGAGAGCCAACTCCAATGGAACCTCATCTCATGGAACCATATTCTGTGAATTCATCCACTTCCCCCTGCAAAAAAACCCTCAGCAACAGCTACTGATTTTGAAAGAGTTTTTCATCCTAAAAATCCCAAGCAAAACCCACAAAAAACCCCCACCACAAAAAAGCAACCACACACCTACAACCACTTGCATCTCTTCCTGATGATATAAACAGGACAGTTAAAGAACCCATTGGTTTCTCTTAAAAAAGGCATAACCTCAGACACTGTGGGTGAAGAGGACTGCAAAACCTGCATTTATCTTCGAGCATATTTCCTCCCAAACAAAAATGGTAAATTGAACACCCATGTCTTGAGGGCATTATTAAAGGAGGTCCTACTGAAAAGTCTGAACATCTCTGCACTTTCATTACTTGAAGATAGTTAAGTAGCATTCTCAACCTATTATCTTTGTGTAAATAGTATAAACACACTAGATGAGAATCCACAACTTGGAAACTAAAGCTTTTTTTTTTTTACAGTGGACAGCAATAACAGAGATAAATCTTAATTTTCCGAGTGCTTGCAGCAGAAGGCATAAAATGGTACACCTACTGGTTGAACACTAATGGAAATAAAAATACTACCACCTCAGGCATACCTATACAATGGAATTCACATATAGGTAACCATTTAGAAATGGATGAAAATTACAAATAACCCTTATTTCAAACCTTCCCAATATTTATCACAAAGATCTGTTAAACTTATGGGAACAATGCCAACCATGAAGGAAGAACTCATGCTGATTCCTTGGTCATACTATAAGGCAAGACTGCTGAAAAATTATACCATCTAGTAACTTAAAACAAAGGTCATGAGGAAAACCTGTAGAAAAATACTTTATGTAAGTATTACCAAAATTTAACTACGGGATGTGAAAATCAAATGTTTTGTAAATAACCTATCTTACTAGACTTCATAATAAAAATGCATGTGAAAGCTTCACAAAGGCTATAAAGACATAACATTAGAGACCTTCTGTACCTTATAAAAAGACTCTCTTTCTCTCCTATTAAATGTAAGTGGACTCTTGGGCCTAACGTTAGCAATCAGTTACACAAATTAAGATAAAACCCTGGCAGGAACATACTCACTTCTGGAAATTGAATTCAAGAACA